TTACACTATAATGAAACAAATTTACTGTTTTCAACATCTATTGATACAGCTTGGGTGTACTGACTTTTTGTCAGAAAATACTTGTTTTTCATATATTCAATAGTTAAAGCTATTGAATACTAGTATATGAAGACAGTATTGCTTCCGTTAAATTGACGATAATTTGTTTCCCTCTCTGAGGAAATATACAACACCAACTAGTTTCCTGCCTCAGTACGATTTGTTTATACCCAATTAAAACAAGTTAAAGTTTTGTCGCATTTCCCACTGTCTCTCTTCATCCTATACTCACCATAATATCAAGTTGGTCAATATTCTTTGTTGTACTGTTTACTTGAATTTAGATTGTGTACGTCATTGCTGGAAATAAACTTTTCAATCATTAGACGTCACGTACCAAAAATGGATCGTTTTGAAAACCATATTTGGTCAATTGACAAGTTAGTCATATCGTAAACTTTGCTTTCTTTTTTATGAAGAAACCTCAGTTTTTTTTTTCAAAAATGATTTGATTAACTTTTTTATCCTATTTAAACCAAGATTTTCAACAAGAAACACAATAACCGCCCGTCTTAGCCCCCATTTTCATCCCACGAGTGCACGTGTGCATGTTCCCTATTCATATACCATGATTGCGACGTTATCTTACTTTTTCATGGGAAAGCATTTCTGTAATAGCATAGATATGAAACCGAAATTTATTTTTGAACGAACTGTTTTTGATAATGACAAGGTCTATTTAGGATGATTTTGTTATTTATCTCTATCAAATTTATTCGGTCTGTAGCTGACATGCAGTCAGGCCAAACATAATTGTGTGTCCCCCTTTTGAAGAAAATAAGGAAGGTTATTACAGATATTCATTTCTATTGTGCCCGATTTTTTCTACCTTGAGTGTGAGGAAATTTTGACACGATTTTTGTTTGAATGTGACCTACCAAATTAGACCTATCACCGGGTTTGTACTTACATGAGCAACACGACGGGTGCCAAATGTGGAACAGGATCTGTTTATCTTACCGGGGCACCTGAGATCACCCCCACTTTTTGGTTGGGTTCGTGGTACTTGGTCTTTAGTTTTCTATGTTGTGTTTTGTGTACTGCTGTCTGTCTTTTCCTGTTTTGCCATGGCATTGTCAGTTTATTTTCGTCTTATGAGTTTGATTATTCCTTTGGTATTTTTCGCTTCTCTTTCACTACTTGATATATTATTTTTATTTTTTCTCTATTCTTTATTCTTAATTTGCCATTTCCTTTATTCATTTTTTTTGGTCATTTTCTCTATTCTATATTTTTTCGTCCATTATTCTTTATATACCAGAAACTCATTTATCTCTTTTTTGTTTTAAATTTTATACCATTATTTCTCAACAAAAACGCATTTTTGTCAAAATTCGTCTTTAAAAGCTTAACTCCTTAAGGCATGTAAGGGGTCATCAAATTGTATCATTTTGGTATCTTTGGAGATTTTGCATTTCTGATTATTTTTTATGTTTATAGTTCCTACCTATCTTTTATAGTTTTTAAGATAATAGGCAAACACATTAAAATTGGTCAAAAATCATCATTTCAGTGCTATAAAGCCTTAAGGGGTCATCCAATAGTTTCAGTGATATTGGCATTTTTGTAGATGTTGTATATAGTTTTCCATATCAATTTTGCCTTTCCCAGTTTTTACCATGAAAATTAGCCAAACATTTAATAGCAATAACTCCTTCATGTGTCATCTGATGATTTTGATGCAAACAGGAAATAAGTAGATCTTGACATTCTGATCAATTATGCCCCTGTCAGATTTTCTCTATCTATTATAATTTCAAGATATAAGACAATTAATGCATTTTACCGTAAATTGTTATTTTTTTGCCATGTTTGTTGACTGACGGATAAAACACAAACTTTATACTAGATACCCTAGAATCATTCACCCAAAGTTTGGTTGAGAAATGCAAAACAATTCAAACTAACAGCCTGATTTATGTAAAAACAATTAACAATAAAATGCTCCGCTGGGCGCAGCTTGATACGATCGCAGAGGTCGAACACTGAACAGTTGGGGCAAGTTTGGACACAACATTCAAGCTTGATACAGCTCTGAATTTGGATTGTGATTAAATATTTGACACAGCATAGGTTTCTGACACAGAATGAATGTGGTCTAAGAACTTAAAATTTTTTAATTTACCTATTATGGTCCAATATCCAAAATCTAAATACATGGTTAGATTCAGCACATCAAAGAATCCAAAGAATTCAATTTTTGATGAAATCAAACAAAGTTTAATTTTGGACCCTTTTGACCTCAATGTGGACCAATTTGATAATGGGGCCCAAAAATCAAAATACATGGTTAGATTCAGCATATCAAAGAACCCCATATATTCAATTTTTGTTAAAATCAAACTAAGTTTAATTTTGGACCCTTTGGACCTTAATGTAGACCAATTTAAAAAACGGGACCCAAAATTAAAAATCTAAATACACGGTTAGATTTGGCATATCAAAGAACCCCAATAATTCAATTTTTGATGAAATCAAACAAAGTTTAATTTTGGACCCTTTTGACCTCAATATGAACCAATTTGATAACGGGGCCCACAAATAAAAAATCTAAATACATGGTTAGATTCAGCATATCAAAGAACCCCATATATTCAATTTTTGTTGAAATCAAACAAAGTATTATTTTGGACCCCAATTTGGACCAACTTCAAAACTGGGCCGATAATCAAAAATCTAATTACATGTTTAGATTCAGCATATCAAAGAACCCCATATATTCAATTTTTGTTAAAATCAAACTAAGTTTAATTTTGAACCCTTTGGACCTTAATGTAGACCAATTTGAAAACTGGACCCAAAATAAAAAATCTAAATACACGGTTTAACAGATAGATTTGAAAATAAAATGCTCCGCTGGGGCGCAGCTTGATACGACCGCAGAGGTCGAACCCTGAACAGTTGGGGCAAGTATGGACACAACATTCAAGCTTGATACAGCACTGAATTTGGATTGTAATTAAATATTTGACACAGCATAGGTTTCTGACACAGAATGAAAGTGGTCTAAGAACTTAAAAATTTTCAATTTACCTATTCATACATGTGATGGACTGTGAAACTCAGATCAGGAGATTGGGAAATTTTGGTCAGGAGATTAGGACTCAGATCAGGAGGTTTTTAATCGACATTAATTTTGTTGTAAATGTAACCGTGTGCTGTAAAAATGGTCTTTTAAAGTGTGTTTTCTTCAACTTTCCATCCAATTTATTATGTTTATAGTACCCTTGTACTTATAAAGTTTCTCCATCTTTATATTCTACATGTTCAATCTAACATTGTTTTTTTCCAGTATGTTCTTTAAATTTTTTACTTCATATTCTATAAAACAATCATTGCAACCAGAACATTTGTTTAGCTATCTGCAAATATGTTTTTTTTTTTTTTTTTTCTCTTGCAAATAGTTTTTATTTGCAAACTCAGAAAATCATTCTATCTCTAAAATTAGGGTCATAGTTATTATATAAATTTCAATTTAAGCCTTGAAAGGAAGTATAGAATCCTCAAATAATTTTCAAATTATTATTTTTTTATTTGTCCTAAGACATTTAAAATCATTTAATAACCATCCTTTTATGATTATTTGTTCAATTTATATTTTATTTATATTCTTTTAAAAATTTTCATTATTAAAAGGAAAGTAACTTAAAACAGGATAAATCAAGGGAAGTAACCCAATAAATACACAGTTTTTGTTACACAACGGCAGTTAGCCTGAGGTAAAAATCGTTGATTACCAGTATGTTTGACACCCAAGCTGACAAGTGAAGCCATATAATTATGCATGTTAATTGATTTACAGGTAAAATATAACTTCAGGTAATGTCAGTTACACCAGATGCCTGAGATGATATGTTGGGCAGAAATTTTTCATTCATGAAAAATTTCATACACGGGATTTTTTCCTCTTCAACGGGAGGTCGGGAGGAGACCCCTGAAAACGGGATTATTGTACTCCCGTCGGGAGGTTCACATGTATGCCTATTCAAACCATATCATTATTATTTGCTTTTATATATAAATCAGAAATAACCAATTTAAAATGGAAAATGTTAAAGAAAAAAAAGGAAAAAAAAAATCCCCCCCAATTTTTTGAACCCCCTTATGATTCATCACCCCCAAACTCAATCCCAGCTTTCCCTTTGTGGTATGGTACCTTGCAGTACAATTTCAGAGAGATTCATACACTTGAACACAAGTTATTGTCTGGAAACTAGAAAAATGCTTGTTTTTTGGCCCCTTTTTGGCCCCAAATTCCTAAACGTTTAGGGCAATTACCCCCAAACTCAATTCCAGCTTTCCCTTTGTGATATGGAACCTTGCAGTACAATTTCATAAAGATCCATACACTTACACACAAGTTATTGTCCTGAAACTAGAAAAATGCATGTTTTTTTTGCCCTTTTATGGCCCCTAATTACTAAAATTTTGAGGGAAAACCCCCAAAATCAATCCCAGCCTTCCCTTTGTGATATGGAACCTTGTAGTACAATTTCATAAAGATCCATACACTTACAAACAAGTTATTGTCATGAAACTAGAAAAATGCTTGTTTTTTGCCCCATTTTGGCCCCTAATTCCTAAAATTTGGAGGAAATTACCCCAAAAATCAATCCCAGTATTCCCTTTGTGATATGGAACCTTGTAGTACAATTTCATAAAGATCCATACAATTACAAACAAGTTATTGTCATGAAACTAGAAAAATGCTTGTTTTTTGCCCCTTTTTGGCCCCTAATTCCTAAAATTTGGAGGCAATTACCCCCAAAATCAATCCCAGCATTCCCTTTGTGATATGGAACCTTGTGGTACAATGTCAGAGAGATCCATACACTTACACACAAGTTATGTCTGGAAGTTACAAAAATGCTTATTTTTGGCCCCTTTTGGCCCCTAATTCCTTAACTGTTAGTACTATAACCCCCAAAATCAATCCCCACCTTCCTTTTGTGGTATTGAACCTTATGGTAAAATTTCATTGAGATCCATTCACTTAAACTAAAGTTAGAGTGCGAAAACTAATGTGTATTCGGACGACGACGCCAGACGACGACGACGACGACGACGACGACGACGACGACAACGTCATACCAATATACGACCACAAAAATTTTTTTGCGGTCGTATAAAAATAATATTTGAAGAATAATTCTTTTTGCTTTCTGAAATCTGAAATGAGAAAAAATTGACCCCCCCCCCCCCCCCTTTTCCCCCCAAAAATTCTTTCCCTCAAGATATGGTCATAATCGCAATTCAAATTTCCAATTACCCATTTAAATTTACCATAGCGCTAACTTAAGGTGGCTCTGGTGTCTTCCTCCATCTTGGATTTCGAAGTAGCAGATAACGTTGGTCTAGATATTTCATGAAATGTGCAAATTTTGAGAGAAGTATGTAATTTATGTACAAGACTTTTGATGTAAATATAGACAATTGAGTGTTTTATCATAATTACGGCTGTAATTTCTCAAAAACACCTTATTTGTGTTTGATTAGATTTTTTTCAACTTTGCCAAATAATGGGAGATAACTCAGATAAATTAATTTTTATAATAGAAAGTGTTGTGAATTTACCTATTTTGATATGTAGCAAGAAAACAAGTTCGGTGACCCCATTTTTTCTTTTTCTTATCTGAAAGCATCTTACAAGAGCTATCTTCTCACATTTTATCTTAAAGTTTTATCAAGTAGTTTTCTTTTTATCACACAAAATTTGATTTTCAATGCATAATCTATACAAAATCTGACAATTTTGCACAACCTCTAGCATGAAAAAAAGTTCAGTGACCCATACTTTTTATTATATTTTTGAAAAAAGCATGATAAAAACTTCATTTTGACAAATTATCAAAAAATTCTATCAATTTTAATTAAGACGCCCCAGTTACTGGTCTTCCTTTATAAATATGCATTTCTTTAAACATAATTTAAAAGCAGTGTAAGGGAAGTAATCAAAGCGTTGTATTTGGATTACCTCCCTTACACTGTTTTAAATTGTTTTAATTGTTCATTAACCATTACTTTATACATAATTTAAAAGCAGTGTAAGGGAGGTAATTCAAATATTGTATTTGATTTATCTCCCTTACACTGCTTTAAATTATGTTTTGTACTAAAGTATTTGTCCATTAACCAGGACAACCTTGTTTTTCCCCCTTTTTTGCCCCTAATTCCTAAACGGTTTGAGCCATAACCCCCCAAAGCAAATCCTAACCATCTCTTTGTGGTATGGAAACTTGTGGTATAATTTCAGAGAGATCCATACACCGTTCCACAAGTTATTGTCTGGAAACTAGAAAATGCTTATTTTTTGCCCTAATTCCTAAACTGTTGGTACCATAACCCCCAAAATCCATCCCACCCTTCCATTTGTGGTATTGAACCTTATGGTAAAATTTCATAGAGATCCATTCACTTAAACTAAAGTTAGAGTGCGAAAACCAATGTGTCTTCGGACGATGACGATGACGACGACGCCGTCATACCAATATACGACCCCAAAAATTTTTTGCGGTCGTATAAAAAACTAATATGATAAACAGCAACAAACGACAACCACTTAAATACAGGCTCCTGACTTGGGACTGGCAAATGCAGAATGTGGCAGGGTTAAACATTCTAAAGAGATTTTAGCAATGATCAGCTATGAAAGCACTTTAGATTTGGAAGATACACAATAAATTTGTTAGGAGTTAAGTTGAAACCTAAATTGGAAAGGTCATCTGATAACAGAAAGAAATTGCACATTTTGGCAGGTTTTTGTTGTTGTACGTTTCCGCTTTCCGCAGAGTTTTGATTATAAAGATGTAAATTCTGGAATGGCTAATTTGTCCAGGAGTGTTAATTGATTATTTTTTTCAGTTTAATTTCTTTGCATCTATCATAGTTTGTAAGGTCATAGCCGAATAAGTATGAATTGGGTAAAATGTGTATTTAAGACAATTACTCTTTATAAGTCCAATTACAATTTTTATCATTTGAATTTCTTGAGGTGTATTGCTGATATAACTGTCAAAAGCGAAAATTATGAAAAATTTGTCATGTATCAACAAATTCTGTTTCGTTGACTTTCTTGTAGATCTTGGATTGCAGATCATTTTCTCTGCTTACAAGCTCCCTCTTTCTTTTTCATGATTATTAGCAAACTGTTACAAGTGGTTAACTTTAGGGGCAATAGCTCTTATTAAGTCCTCTCATCATTTGGTAGAGATGGAACCTAGGTACATCTTGACATTCCACCTGGTTATTATTTTTCGGCCATGGAGGCTTTGATGGTTGGTTTTTAGCAATGAAAATTGCAAACTTGAAAATAGATACTAGGCAAAGTTGTGTTTAAATTGCTGTGGTGGCTTTAGAGGAAAATTTTCTTTTAAGCTCATAAATGTGACTCTATTTACAAAATATTTGCTCTTTTTGAAGCTATTTTATTAAACAGCAAATATAACCTGTTATATATAATCACAAGTCCTTTGAAGTCTGAACACAAAAAAATAAGACTTAAAATATTTATTGATTTATTTATAATCGAACAAATACAATTCTAGCACTAGGTAAGAGATAAGCACTAGGAACTTTGTCATTTTTCAATTCAGTACTTACATAAAATTAATATTAATTCATATATATCTCATGGCAGTGCTCTTACAAACATTTCAAGAGGTAATTTAAACCTCACATGTACTTGTTAAAATGTATTCTCAATCGTCTAAAAAATATATAAGTCAATCAACAAACAGTTCAAGAAATGAAATGAAATCTGAAACCCCCATACCCTAATGGAAAATATTGATAAAAATAATGAATCATGAATGTATATATATAAACAGTAATAATGAACTGTTCATTCATTAAGTTGTAAGCTTTCATTCAATTCATTTAATCAACAGTGATCAGTGACCTAAATAACAAACTGTAGAATTGCAATGAAAGCTGACAGTTAAAGTTTAACCCGGCAGTATAAAATATTTCATTATAATCATCCATTTAGTAAATGTGACCATAATCATTGATAACCAAAATATTCATATTTCTAAGAATTTGGCACAAAAACTCTAGATTTTGCTTTGTCTTTGGCTTTTTCTGTAGCATCCTTTGCCATTTCTGTTGCTTTACGTGCCGTCTGCTTAATCCTATCTTTGCCAGTTGTAGCAAGAACTGTTGCTGGAACAACAGTATCAGATGGGAATAATTTCTCTAAAATGAGAATAAATCCCTCATGAGTTTTCTGAGCATCTTTTTTGGCTTTTTCGTATCCATAAAGTTCAATAGCCTTGCCGAATCCAAAAACTTTAGATGTATTCCAATACGATTTGTCTTGCATTACTTTGCATTTACTCTCTGGGTCAACAGTGTAAACACATTTTTCAACAACATTCTAAAATAAAAATGACAGATATGTTAATTATAATTTTTGGTGTAATACATGTATATCTATGATTATGTACCTAATAAGTCAAGCAAGTTAGTTATTGAGAAGTAGTACCACAAAATGCAAATCATAGTCTCTGTAGTCCAATATTCCAAATGCTTCAGACGGTCCTGACATTTGAATAAATAATGAGCCATTGAATGGTCTTCTGACAGATAATGAAGAATAAAGTAAAAGGGGAGAAAGGCTATTAGGGTCTTGTTTGGCCTAAATTTTTAGTTAAAATAATTAATAGGTACGTATACATACACATGTTAAAAGTCTGAAACTTAGTGTCTTTCAAATATAATATTAATTAAATAGCTTTAAAGTTCAAAAGACAGCATAACTTGTATTTTTTCTTAAAATAAATATACCAACACATTGTAACACTTGTGGTAAACATGGTAAAGGTTAACATTACATCAGGAAATAAAAGAAGAATGTGTCTGAGGACACAAATGCCCCTGCTCAAGCTACACACAAAAAAAAATAGGACGGACGGACAGAAAGATAAAAGGTCAAGGGTAACACTTAATGCCCCTGCTCAAGCTACACACAAAAAAAAATGAAGGATGAACAGAAAGATAAAAGGTTAAGGGTAACACTTAATGCCCCTGCTCAAGCTACAAACAAACAATAAAATGCTCCGCTGGGGCGCAGCTTGATACGACCGCAGAGGTCAAACCCTGAACAGTTGGGGCAAGTATGGACACAACATTCAAGCTTGATACAGCACTGAATTTGGATTGTAATTAAATATTTGACACAGCATAGGTTTCTGACACAGAATGAAAGTGGTCTAAGAACTTATAATTTTTTAATTTACCTATTCATATATGTGATGGACTGTGAAACTCAGATCAGGAGATTGGGAAATTTTGGTCAGGAGATTAGGACTCAGATCAGGAGGTTTTTAATCGACATAAATTTTGTCGTAAATGTAACCGTGTGCTGTAAAAATGGTCTTATAAAGTGTGTTTTCTTCAACTTTCCATCCAATTTATTATGTTTATAGTACCCTTGTACTTATAAAGTTTCTCCATCTTTATATTTTACATGTTCAATCTAACATTTTTTTTTTTTCAGTATGTTCTTTAAATTTTTTACTTCATATTCTATAAAACATTTATTGCAACCAGAACATTTGTTTAACTATCTGCAAATAGCTTTTGTTTGCATACTCAGAAAATCATTCTAACTGTAAAGCAAGGGTCATAGTTACTATATAAATTTCAATTTAAGCCTTGAAAGGAAGTATAGAATCCTCAAATAATTTTCAAATTATTATTTTTTTATTTGTCCTAAGACATTTAAAATCATTTATTTACCATCCTTTTATGATTATTTGTTCAATTTATATTTTATTTATATTCTTTTAAAAATTTTCATTATTAAAAGGAAAGTAACTTAAAACAGGATAAATCAAGGGAAGTAACCCAATAAATACACAGTTTTTGTTACACAACGGCAGTTAGCCTGAGGTAAAAAATCGTTGATTACCAGTATGTTTGACACCCAAGCTGACAAGTGAAGCCATATAATTATGCATGTTAATTGATTTACAGGTAAAATATAACTTCAGGTAATGTGAGTTACACCAGATGCCTGAGATGATATGTTGGGCAGAAATTTTTCATTCATGAAAAATTTCATACACGGGATTATAATTTTCCTCTTCAACCGGAGGTCGGGAGGAGACTCCTGAAAACAGGATTATTGTACTCCTGTCGGGAGGTTCACATGTATGCTATTCAAACCATATCATTATTATTTGCTTTTATATATAAATCAGAAATAACCAATTTAAAATGGAAAATTTTAAAGAAAAAAAAGGAAAAAAAAATCCCCCCCCCCAAATTTTTTGAACCCCCTTATGATTCATCGCCCCCACACTCAATCCCAGCTTTCCCTTTGTGGTATGGTACCTTGCAGTACAATTTTAGAGAGATCCATTCACTTGAACACAAGTTATTGTCTGGAAACTAGAAAAATGCTTGTTTTTTTGTCCCTTTTTGGCCCCTAATTCCTAAACGTTTTGGGCAATTACCCCCAAACTCCAACCCAGCTTTCCCTTTGTGATATGGAACCTTGCAGTACAATTTCATAAAGATCCATACACTAACACACAAGTTATTGTCCTGAAACTAGAAAAATGCTTGTTTTTTGCCCCTTTTTGGCCCCTAATTCCCCAAATTTGGAGGAAATTACCCCCAAAAATCAATCCCAGTATTCCCTTTGTGATATGGAATCTTGTGATACAATGTCAGAGAGATCCATACACTAACACACAAGTTATTGTCATGAAACTAGAAAAATGCTTGTTTTTTGCCCCTTTTTGGCCCCTAATTCCTAAAATTTGGAGGCAATTACCCCCAAAATCAATCCCAGCATTCCCTTTGTGATATGGAACCTTGTGGTACAATGTCAGAGAGATCCATATACTTACACACAAGTTATGTCTGGAAGTTACAATAAAATGCTCCGCTGGGGCGCAGCTTGATACGACCGCAGAGGTCGAACCCTGAACAGTTGGGGCAAGTATGGACACAACATTCAAGCTTGATACAGCACTGAATTTGGATTGTAATTAAATATTTGACACAGCATAGGTTTCTGACACAGAATGAAAGTGGTCTAAGAACTTAAAAATTTTCAATTTACCTATTCATACATGTGATGGACTGTGAAACTCAGATCAGGAGATTGGGAAATTTTGGTCAGGAGATTAGGACTCAGATCAGGAGGTTTTTAATCGACATTAATTTTGTTGTAAATGTAACCGTGTGCTGTAAAAATGGTCTTTTAAAGTGTGTTTTCTTCAACTTTCCATCCAATTTATTATGTTTATAGTACCCTTGTACTTATAAAGTTTCTCCATCTTTATATTCTACATGTTCAATCTAACATTGTATTTTTCCAGTATGTTCTTTAAATTTTTTACTTCATATTCTATAAAACAATCATTGCAACCAGAACATTTGTTTAGCTATCTGCAAATAGTTTTTTTTTTTTTTTTTTCTCTTGCAAATAGTTTTTATTTGCAAACTCAGAAAATCATTTTATCTGTAAAATTAGGGTCATAGTTATTATATAAATTTCAATTTAAGCCTTGAAAGGAAGTCTAGAATCCTCAAATAATTTTCAAATTATCATTTTTTTATTTGTCCTAAGACATTTAAAATCATTTAATAACCATCCTTTTATGATTATTTGTTCAATTTATATTTTATTTATATTCTTTTAAAAATTTTCATTATTAAAAGGAAAGTAACTTAAAACAGGATAAATCAAGGGAAGTAACCCAATAAATACACAGTTTTTGTTACACAACGGCAGTTAGCCTGAGGTAAAAATCGTTGATTACCTGTATGTTTGACACCCAAGCTGACAAGTGAAGCCATATAATTATGCATGTTAATTGATTTACAGGTAAAATATAACTTCAGGTAATGTCAGTTACACCAGATGCCTGAGATGATATGTTGGGCAGAAATTTTTCATTCATGAAAAATTTCATACACGGGATTTTTTCCTCTTCAACGGGAGGTCGGGAGGAGACCCCTGAAAACGGGATTATTGTACTCCCATCGGGAGGTTCACATGTATGCCTATTCAAACCATATCATTATTATTTGCTTTTATATATAAATCAGAAATAACCAATTTAAAATGGAAAATGTTAAAGAAAAAAAAGGAAAAAAAAATCCCCCCCCCAATTTTTTGAACCCCCTTATGATTCATCACCCCCAAACTCAATCCCAGCTTTCCCTTTGTGGTATGGTACCTTGCAGTACAATTTCAGAGAGATTCATACACTTGAACACAAGTTATTGTCTGGAAACTAGAAAAATGCTTGTTTTTTGGCCCCTTTTTGGCCCCAAATTCCTAAACGTTTAGGGCAATTACCCCCAAACTTAATTCCAGCTTTCCCTTTATGATATGGAACCTTGCAGTACAATTTCATAAAGATCCATACACTTACACACAAGTTATTGTCCTGAAACTAGAAAAATGCATGTTTTTTTTGCCCTTTTATGGCCCCTAATTACTAAAATTTTGAGGGAAAACCCCCAAAATCAATCCCAGCCTTCCCTTTGTGATATGGAACCTTGTAGTACAATTTCATAAAGATCCATACACTTACAAACAAGTTATTGTCATGAAACTAGAAAAATGCTTGTTTTTTGCCCCTTTTTGGCCCCTAATTCCTAAAATTTGGAGGAAATTACCCCAAAAATCAATCCCAGTATTCCTTTTGTGATATGGAACCTTGTAGTACAATTTCATAAAGATCCATACACTTACAAACAAGATATTGTCATGGTCGTATAAAAATGCTTGTTTTTTGCCCCTTTTTGGCCCCCAATTCCTAAAATTTGGAGGCAATTACCCCCAAAATCAATCCCAGCATTCCCTTTGTGATATGGAACCTTGTGGTACAATGTCAGAGAGATCCATACACTTACACACAAGTTATGTCTGGAAGTTACAAAAATGCTTATTTTTGGCCCCTTTTGGCCCCCAATTCCTTAACTGTTAGTACCATAACCCCCAAAATCAATCCCCACCTTCCTTTTGTGGTATTGAACCTTATGGTAAAATTTCATTGAGATCCATTTACTTAAACTAAAGTTAGAGTGCGAAAACTAATGTGTATTCGGACGACGACGCCGGACGACGACGACGACGACGACGACGACGACGACGACGACGACGACGACGACGCCAACGTCATACCAATATACGACCACAAAAATTTTTTTGCGGTCGTATAAAAATGCTTATTTTTGGCCCCTTTTTGGCCCCTAATTCCTTAACTGTTAGTACCATAACCCCCAAAATCAATCCCCACCTTCCTTTTGTGGTATTGAACCTTATGGTAAAATTTCATTGAGATCCATTCACTTAAACTAAAGTTAGAGTGCGAAAACTAATGTGTATTCGGACGACGACGCCGGACGACG